GTCTCATCTTCTTCGCGTTCAACAAAGCACGGACAGTTGCGGGCGAGGCCCCTTGGGCTTGTCCATCCTCGCACGCTTGTTGGAAGTGACGAGGATGGGCCCCGCCCCCCCCCTCCCCCGGCCCAACCTCCGAACCCGAAAAAGCCTGAAGGCCTATAGGCCCCTGAAACCCTAACGAAGCCCTAAACCCTCAGCACCCTCATCCCTAATCCCTAACCCCCAAAACCCGACCACCGCACCACAGCAGAGGCATGGCGGGTGAACTAGAAACCCTTCAGCGCTGAACTCAAAACCTCACCACCACACCAGGCCAGCATGGCGGCCAGATTCCCAACCCCCAAACCCCACCACCACGGCATAGGGGTTGGCGGGACCCTAGACCCTAAAAGTAGGCAATCTGATCGACTCATGTTTCTGGGGCTCCTTCTGAAGACACTACGGGGGGGGGGGGCTACCTTTGTGGTAGGTGCCACAAGGATCGAACTTCATGTAATGTTGCAGGTTGGTAGACGCATGGTAGTATTAGGATGTTGCTGGTCGCTTGTTTGAATGAGTTTGGAACTGTATTTGACTTGTGCTACTGTTGCCGGAACCGCATTCTACTGAGTCTAGTTCGCCGTTAGCGCCTGGCAGTGTGTGGTCTGCTGGGCGCGTGGCCAACACACACCACCACACTACAGGGGGCGGGGATGGGCATCTTGGGCTGGGAAGGGGCGAGGGGCGGCGAGGGGGGATACGAATTCGGGGGGGAGGAAACCTAAACCCTCCACCTCCTTTTTATTTTTTTTGACAGGGACCGTGGTTTCCTTGGAGCGCTCTCAGGATCCTGGCAAGAAAGACCTTCCTGGAAAGAAGGAGCGAATCAAGTTCGCCGGGGAGCCTACCACTGCGGTTCTAGGGTTTAGGGCTTAGGGTTTAGGGCTTAGGGTTTAGGGTTTATGGTTTGCTGTTTAATGTTTAGGGTAAGGGGTTTAGGGTTTGGGGTTGGTCTGTGGTTTCCATGACGAACAAAGCGCAAGCCAAACGCGAAGCCCCAAGCTTCCGGAAAACAGGGTTCGGGAAGGGCCAGGCTGTGGCCTTTTTGTTGGCCTGGAAACCCCTAAGCCCCCAATATCCCAATAAAGACCCTAAACCCTGAACTCTAAACCCTAAACCTGAAACCTTAAACCCTAAACCCTACGCCGTAACCTTAAACCCTAAACCCTAAACCCTAAACCCTAAACCCTAAACCCTGTGTGACTCCCGCAAAGCCACGGCACCTGCCTCGGAAAGCCTCGCGCAGGCAGAAAACCCGAAGAGGCCTTGGGATGCATGTTTGGGGGGTTAGGGTTTAGGTTTAGGGTTTAGGGTTTAGGGTTTAGGGTTTAGGGTTTAGGGTTTAGGGTTTAGGGTTTAGGGTTTAGGGTTTAGGGTTTAGGGTTTAGGGTTTAGGGTTTAGGGTTTGGGGGGTTAGGGTTTAGGGTTTGGGGTCTAAGGTTTAGGGGTTTATAGGGGTTCATAGAGGTTTGTGGGAGTTTGTAGGGGTTCATAGGGGTCAATAGGGGTTTAATAGGGGTGAATAGGGGTTTATAGGAGTTTAGGGATTTAGGGGTTTAGGGGTTTAGGTCCGGCTTCAAGAAGGGTCCAGGGGATTAGGAAGTTTAGGAGGATTCGGAAGTCTAAGAGGTTTAGGGTTTGGGTTTAGGGTTTAGGGTATGAGGGTCCATAGGGTGCACCCCTAAAGCCGAGGGTTGGGGGTTCAAGGTTTGCCAGGGCCGATTCCGGTTCTTGGGATATACTCCTCTAAACGGCCCTTGTACTGTATACTACCTTCAGGCTCTCTAAAACTTAAGGGTCCAAGGTAGCCTCAACCCTAAACCCCAAAACCCTAAACCCTAAACCCTAAACGAGAGCCAAGAAGAGCTGTCTTTGGGCGGGCGCAGGGTGGGCTCGACTGCGCACGCGCGCTACGAGAAGCTTGGGCTGTTTCAGGTAGTGGGTTGCAAGAAGGGCCTTTAGGGTTTAGGGTTTGGGGTTTGGTTTAGGGTTTAGGGTTTAAGGGTTTAAGGGTTTAAGGGTTTAAGGGTTTAAGGGTTTAAGGGTTTAAGGGTTTAAGGGTTTAAGGGTTTAAGGGTTTAAGGGTTTAAGGGTTTAGGGTTTAGGGTTTAGGGCTAAGGCTGTCTCAGGTTTAGTTGCAAGAATGGGGGCTATAAGGGAAAAGGGTCTCAGGCACATGTTATAAAGATGTCCTTCAATGCACTTTTCTTGAAGTCCGACCTACGCCTTACTCAATTTGTAAGGATCCCTTCTTGAGTCTTCTCCCGGACCCCCAAATACACCCCCCAAATGGCAGGATTGCCTGAAAATAGGGACCCCATAATAAGGTGCCCCAATTTCTGACACCACCAATGTCTGTATGTGTTTATATTGTGCCGAAGCCTCAAGGCCTCTAAACCCTTTCCAAACCCTAAAACCCTAACCCTAAACCCCAACACCCTCAGCACCCTCTAAACCCTAAACCCTAAACCCTAAACCCTAAAACCCTAAGCCGTAACCCTAAACCCTAAACACCCTAAACACCCTGAACCCCAAGTCCTGAACTTTTGCCTCGGCAGCCCTCAGCCCAAGCCCGAACCCCAGCCTTGGAAGGCCTAAACCCATAAATTGGAGCCCCAAAAGGGCTTCCCTAAACCCTAAACCCTAAACCCTAAACCCTAAACCCTAAACCCTAAACCCTAAACCCTAAACCCTAAAACCCTAAAACCCTAAAACCCTAAACCCTAAACCGTTTAGGCTTTAGGGTCTATTGCAGGCCTCAGTCTGAAGCCCTGCACCCTCTGTGATTTTTGCAGTGCCTGTGCTGGTGACAGTTGACACTTTGTGTTCTTTAGAGATTTGGTCCTGGACTTCTGTACACAACTGAGCATACGTCTTCACCATACAGGCGTAACGTGAGCATTGCCGCATCCCTAAACCCCAAACCTAAACTCCCTAGACCCTAAACCCTACACTCCCTAAACCCTAAACTCCCTAAACTCCTAAACTCCCTAAACCCTAAACTCCCTAAACCCTAAACCCCCTAAACTCCCTAATTCCAAAACTCCCTAAACTCCCTAGACCCTAAACCCTAAAATCCCTACACCCTAAACTCCCTAAACCCTAAACTCCCCAAACCCTAAACTCCCTAAACTCCCTAAACTCCCTAAACTCCCTAAACTCCCTAAACTCCCTAAACTTAAACCCTCAATCCTAAACTCCCTAAACCCTAAACCCTAAACTCCCTAAGCCCCTAGGAAGTACAAGCATGCGGAGACGATCGAAGAGGCCCTGAGATGCGGGGCCGTCGAGGGCGACATCCTTCACGACTTCAAGCCGCTTTGAGGAGGACTTAGGGTTGTTTAGGGCTTAGGGTTTAGGGTTGTTTAGGGCTTAGGGTTTTGGGTTTTGGGTTTAGGGTTTAGGGTTTAGGGTTTATACTATATATGTATACGTCTATATGTATATATACAGAGACAGAGAGAGAGAGAGAGAGAGAGAGAGAGAGCAGCATGTTTATGACGTTCTATGTGTTTTATGCGTGACATGCCGACTACAAGTGAGGTCACGAAGAATATCTTAACGCAGGTACAGAATAGTAACTGTCCTCAAAGACACACTTGCTGCAGATTCTGCCCGAAACCCTGAAACCCTGTTGCCCGATTACCCCAAACCCCAAACCCCAAACCCCAAACCCCAAACCCCAAACCCCAAACCCCAAACCCCAAACCCCAAACCCCAAACCCCAAACCCCAAACCAAAAAAAATGCGCTGCTGGTGCTCAGGAAGGGCTTCTTGCGCAGAGCGTAGCCGCGCCGCGCTGCACCGGCCCCGTCCTTTGGCCACGGGTTCGTAGGGGTTGATGTACAGGGTCTAGGGTTTACGGTCTAGGGTTCTGTCGGGGTTTATCGGGCCTGATGGGGTTTGTAGGGTCTTATAGGGTTGCTGTCAACTTCTGGGGGTCCTAATTTAAAGTCATGAAGCACTTGCAGCCATAAGGCTTAGATGTAGAGTCGTCACTGATGCCAGACAGAGACCAACGAACCTTGCCGTCCTTATGTGAGAGTGAGCGACTAGACCCTTTCAACCTCAGGGTAGTGAGATGGTCCCTTAATATGCTCCGCTAAACGTGGACCCCATGTGTACCCCTCATATACCCAAGGGCCCCTACCTCAGAGCCATTTAGAGAAGGTAAGGGACCATACAAAGGGACCCGTAAACCCTAAACCCTAAACCCTAAACCCTAAACCCTAAACCCTAGACCCTAGAAACCCTAAACCCTGGATACCCAAATGTCATTAGACCGGGACCATATTACGAACCTTGCTTATAAAATAAACCTCCAAGCCTTACATCCTGCAGTCACAGCGCGATTAGGCTGGCAAGAGGCCGCCTCTGAGATGAGATGGGTTTAGGGTTTAGGGTTTAGGGTTTAGGGTTTAGGGTTTAGGGTTTAGGGTTTAGGGTTTAGGGTTTAGGGTTTAGGGTTTAGGGTTAGGGTTTATGGGGTTTAGGGTTTCAGGGTTCAGGGTTTCGCATGGCCAGCTCTTGACATTGTGGAAGGTTTAGGGGTTAGAGGGTTTTCGAGTTCAGAGTCTTCGTCAATAGAAGCTGCGTAATGCGTAGTAGGGCCCAAAGCCACGTTTGCCGGGCAAAATCCGCCGACCAGTCGCAGAGCGGGGAGCAGCGCTGCGTGAAAAAGGGGCCCAAGACCCGTGGACCAGCGTTTGCACCTTAAACCATATAGGCGTCCCCAATATGCATTAGGAATATGAAGGGATGTATGTTCCCCTATACTAACAGTCCTTAATAGGGATCATAATGGGACCATGCCTCAGCTAAGGGTTGCTGAGCTTCCTGTGAAATTCAGTGCACAGAAGGGCTGCATGATCCTTGCTGTCTCCTTGCAGTCTTTCGCGGCCACATTCTCGGATTACCCAATTAGCGCTACTAGAGGGATTTGCCCCAGGGTTCGAGGCAACGCCATGGCCGCCCAAGCAGATCCAGACGCAAATGTTCACGCGGCAGCGCCGCTGGCTGTCGCCATCGGTCAACCCGAAGAGGTGGGCTGCAGCCATGCAATGCATGTGGGGTTTGGGGTTTAGGGTTTAGGGTTTAGGGCTTAGGGCTTAGGGTTGATAGGGCTTAGGGGTTAGGGTATGGGGTTTAGGGTTTAGGGAATTAGTCATGCCTACCTTTCCGGGGCCATGCTGCATACTGCGTTGAAACATCTGGTGTGTCTAGTGACGTAGTCCCAAAGAGCCCAATATCCCTTAATTAGGAAATATTGCTGAATTTCTCTACGGATCCTGAATATGATTTAAGGTATGTTCCTTAATTAAGGGGCATTGGGCTCTTTGGGGTGTTCGGAAAGCTGAACGCCTGATTCACGAAGCTTCCGGGGTACTCAGAGACCTCTTGAACACCTAATCCCTGTAAGCTGGGCCACAGACCCAGATCTTCCAAAACCCCTTAATTAAGGAATATACCCACTTCATAGTAAGGACCCTTACTAGAAATTACTGTATCTTAGTTAAGGGGTTGTGGAAGATCTGGGGAGCTGATCGATCATCTGCATGACTCACTTGTGTCGAGCAGGCGTCTTCGGAAGCTGACCGCGACCAGATCGAAACTTTGTTCATTGACCACATTTCTGGGATGGCCGCTTGAAGAAGCTGTTTTCCCTAAACCTTGTAAACCCTGTGACGATTAGCCAGGTTCTGTACTTTTTTGTAGTACCGGTGGTGCTTGCAGTGGCAGTAGTAGTGTCTTAGCAGTAGAGTAGGTAACCTTTAACCTTTTTGGGGTAATAGATTCCCCCTTATATTCCCAAAGGTTAACCTTTAAAACCCCTAGGTACTGGACAACTAAGGTGTTTAGAGTGTTGGAGTAGCGGTACCTACGTCATGCTCGCCATGAAGTCTTTCCTTGTTGGGCCAGAGTGGGCCCTAAACCCGAAGCCCAAAGCCCTAAACCCTCCAAACCCCAAACCCTAAACCCTCCAAACCCCAAACCCTAAACCCTGAACCCTAAACCCTAAACCCTAAACCCTAAACCCTAAACCCTAAACCCTAAACCCTAAACCCTAAACCCTACAAACCCCAAACCCCCCCCCCCCCCCCAAGGAGGTTCTGGATCCGAGCCTTGTCCGCGCAACGCACGCGCACCGGGCCCTTCGGCTCCTTGGTCGCCCGCTCCGGGGAGGTCTGCGAACGGTGCCACAAGGTGGCCAGAACCTTTGGGGGTTTAGGGTTTAGGGTTTAAGGCTTGGGGTTTAGGGTTTAGGGTTTAGGGTTTTAGGGTTTTAGGGACTCCCTAAACGGGTTTATGTTTCATAGGCCCTAAATATAGGGACTAGAGAAGTGTGTATAGGGTATATGACCCCCCAACTTTTAGGGTTCATCTGGTCCCCAAACATTCAAAAATCTGATGGGGTTGAGGGCTCATGGAGTCCGAGTCTCATGAAGCTCCTTATGAGGTTCTGTCTGCGTATAAGGCCTCTCGCAAAAGGACCATGGTTTCTGAGAAACCCCCACCCCCCCCCCCCCCCCCGCCCCTCCAGGTGAGAACCTCTACCGGCAGAGCCGCGTCGCATCCCACATACAAGATTTTTGGTCTCACAGTTGGCATGGCAACCAGAAGTTCAAGGTCCTCCTACTCATGCTGCTGTACAACGGGCCTGCAGCTGCCACTTACTGTGGTTTCAGGAAAGTTTTGGGGGCTTTCGCTTCCAAGGCAAAGCTTCCTTATGAGATGCCCTAGACCCTAAACCCTAAACCCTAAACGCCCAGTTTTTCAACCGGTTGCCATGACTCCCAGGCAATTGCAGGAACAGTGGCGAGTTTCCTGCCCCTCCTGGTCCATGGCTATCTACCTGCGATCGAACCATGGCTGTTTGCTTCGCCGGTGTGTGCCTTTTCAACTAAATTTGTCGATCAAAGTTCTGTGGCACACAAAAGCATAGATGGTTTTTCAGCAAGAAAATAACCACACCCAAAAAAGAGCATAAATACAAAACATGCATATTGTATTCTTATATATATATATATTCTTTTTGTTTGTTTATGTGTTTATTTTTATACGAATGAATTTGGCCCAGTGGCCAAGGAGCAGACGGAGAAGAATGGTGTCGGAGATGTCCTGCGATTCAGCCCTTGGTCGACGGCTTCGGGGGTCTTCGTCTTCACGCTGACCCTTCTCTTCTGGCCATCTCAGCGTAGCATCTTCCTGGACCGCATGTGCATCAACCAGGTTGATGTCGGCCTAAAGTTGCAAGGCCTCGTGAGCATGGCCGGAATCCTGAAGCAGGCCACCTCATTGCTGGTGGTGTGGGACGAGACGTACATGCAAAGATTGTGGCTGGGCTGCCCACAAAGGACGAGAAGCTCTGAGCCTCTTTTGGGTCTAGGGCCTTCCACCCCGCAAGGTGCTCACATCATGTCATGGTGACTACAATCGGTTTTGTGTCGCACTGAGGAACTCTTCTGAGGGTCGAAGGAGTTTGCTTAGGGTTTAGGGTTTAGGGATTAGGGTTTAGGGTTTAGGGTTTAGGGTTTAGCCATGGTGCAGGGCTTCAGGGTGCAGACGCTTGAGGTAAATACACACCTTCCGACGGGCCGTCCGAACACACCCTGCTAGCAGATCACTAGCTGATACTACTCCAACCTGCCTGCTTCCAAGAGACGAGCAAGGCCTAGGGGTTATTTTAGGGTTTAGGGTTTAGGGTTTAGGGTTGCGCCCTGCATACGCACAGACGATGGACATCATCTGAGGTGGTGTGTCTTGGAGCTTGCGGCTTTCTGGAAGAGCCATGATGCCTGGCTTTCTAGCGCTTCCAAGTTTTTCATGTACATGGATTTTGGGCTTAGGGTTTTGGGTTTAGGGTTATGGACACATACACACATATCATATAGGTTGCATGAAGTATATATATATATACACAATTATATATACATCTTGCGGTTTTGAATGCCGCGGCTTTTGATGGGCTTGAACACGCGCAACAAACCCTCAACTCGAAACCCCACGCCCCAAGCCCTAAACCCTAAACCCTAAACCCTAAAAGCCCTAAACCCTAAACCGTAGCATAGACCCTAAACCCTCAAAATGCAAAACCCTAATTATGTGGTGCCATGAGCTTCAAAGGCGCAACCCGAAACGTGCCTGAGCATGTGGCCGGTCCTCATCGGGCCGCTGTTCCTGGGGTTGAACTGGACATGTTCTTCGGATCAGGGTTTAGGGTTTAGGGTTTAGGGTTTAGGGTTTAGGGTTTAGGGTTAGCTAGGGTTTAGGGTTTAGGGTTTAGGGTTTAGGGCTTAGGGCTTAGGGTTTAGGGCTTAGGGTTTAGGGTTTAGGGTTTAGGGTTTAGGGTTTAGGGTTTTCTAATGCTTCTGAGCCATGATTACTGTGAATCTCTAGCCCAGAAAGAACCTAAGTCTTGGATGGCCCTAAACCCTAAACCCTGAACCCTAAACCCTAAACCCTCGACTTTGGACCCTAAACCCTGCCCTGCCTGCCTTGTGCCAGCATGAGAGTGTAAATCCTAGACTCAAGGGACGAAAGGAGGGACCTTAGGGGTTCTTCGGGGTTATTTAGGGGCTACTTAGGTAGAAAGGGACGATATAAGGTAAAAAAACATATGCAGAGGTTATTCGGGGAATAAGTAAGGGTCCCTTCCAGGGGTCCCTTCTTATGCCCCCCTTAATCGACCCTGAGCCAAAGGTTCTTGGCACTTGCAATCAGCGCCGTCGCCACCCTCCTGCTCTGGACCCCTGGGGTGTAGGGTTGAGGGTTCAGGGTTTAGGGTTTCGGGTGTGTTCGAATTGAAGGTTTAGACTTAGAGTCGTGTCCTTGATCTCGAGGCGGAGAAACCTCTCGTCATAAATGCCACATCTCAAAAAACGAGGCACATGATACCCGAATGGTGGAGCATATGTCCTCTATTCAGGGCTGTTTGTGGAGCGAATGTGCTTTGTGTTGCTTATCCTTGGCATTGCTAATCCCTAACTTACTGCTGACCCTAAACCCTAAACCCCAAACCCTAAACCCTAAACCCTAAACCCTAAGCCCTAAACCCTAAACCCTAAACCCTAAACCCTAAACCCTAAACCTCCCGTTTCCTGCTGTAAAGGCACAGGACCTATCGGTGCACATTCAGGGCTCTGCTGTGGGTCCTGAGGGTTTAGGGTTTAGGGTTTAGGGTTTAGGGTTTAGGGTTTAGGGTTTAGGGTTTAGGGTTTAGGGTTTAGGGGCTAGGCGGCTGAGGGCTGGCAAGAGAATACGAACCCGAGTAAACCCCAACCCTCAAACCGCCCATGTACCCTAAAACCCCTAAACCCTAAACCCTGTATATGCGCCCACGTTGCGCGTAATCGACCCCCCCCGCCCCCCCATGGTACTCCCCTGCCGGTTAACCCTAAAAACACCACGGACCACGGGGGAGGACAGAGAAACCACAGCCTAAACCCCACACCCTGAACTCTAAGCCCTAAAACCTAAACCCACCAATGAACGACAGGAGGGAGAAGGGTAAACCTGAAACCTTAGCCGCTTTAACCCTGAACCCTGAAGCGTAAACTCAGCACGAACCACAGGGGGAGAGGGGAAACCCTACCATTACCCCAAACCTTGAACCCTGATTAAACTCTAAACCCACAATGAACCAATGGACCAGAGTGAAAATCCTGAACTCAACAGCCTAACACTAAACCCCTAAATCACAAACCCATGAACCACGGACCATGAACCACAGAGGGGGGGGGGGGGGGGGAGGGGACCCCAAAAACCCACCATGAACCACAGGGGGGGGGGATACCATGGGGGGCGGGGAGGGGGTGGGGGGGTGCGCCTATGCTGGCGCATATACCCTACAAACCCCTAAACCCTAAACCTGCAAAAGCGTGGTAAAACACTTGCCGGCTTGGGAAGAAAGCAGCAGCTTCCAACAAAAAAACAACATTTCCTTCATATTAAAGGGGTTGGAATAATTATTACTAGTATTCCCTTACTACGGTCCCTCTAAACAAATATTACACTAACCCTCAACCCCTATATGCGTTAAACCCCAAACCTTAAACCTTATAAACCCTAAGCCCTAAAATACCCTATTCCAATCATCAAGGCCCCTCTTTTGTCAGGATCCTCACACCTTCCCTGACGCTGTCGGTCGCTGCGGCGGTGTTCTTGGGCCGCTGCCTTGGGTTCTACATCGCTGGCGCCATGCTCCGGGACATGGGTTTGTGGGTTTGTGGTTTTGTTGGAGTGTTTGGGGGGGGGCTTGGGGTGGGAAGGGGGGGGGGGGGGGTTGGGGGGTTTGGGTTTTGGCACAGGATCGCTTTCCTTCCTGTAGGAGTTCGGGCCTGGGGAGACGTACGGTAGCTAGGCAAGACATAGCTAGGCAACAAGTCGAACTTTAAGCTGTTTGGGTTCAGGGTCGAGGTTTCGGGATGTTTCGTTAGAAAAATGATGGTTTGAATATCGCACAGGGTCTTCTAGCATTATTTGCCACTGTGGAACAACATGCTCTGCTCCGTGGATGTTGGGTACCTCACGAATTCCATAGGAGTAGTAGGTGGACCCACTTGAGTTCAGCCTGTATTGATGCAGGCAAGCCCCCTCCCAAAACTTAATCCTGAACCCTACACCTTGGCATGTTCCTCCCAATGCTAACAATCCTGAATAGGGATTTTAGTACCCCCTCCCCCCCCCCCGCGGCCCATTTTCACACCTACTGCTAGTATAAGATGGAACATCCCAACCAAAACCCTAAAAACCTCCGAAGCCCGATAAAACCCTAAACCCCAAACCCTGAACCCTAAACCCTAAACCCCAAACCCCAAACCCTAAACCCTAAACCCTAAACCCTAAACCCTAAACCCTAAACCCTACACCCTACACCCTAAACCTTTACCTAAAACCCCCTAAAACAGGAGCACTACCACGCCTTGGACCAGCTCTCAACCCAGCTCGAAACGTTCTCTGTGAGCTCAACGCACTGCAACTGCTGCTTCTGGGCAGGTCTACCTGGACTTTCCAATGTAGTCCCTTTTTTGGGTTAGTTATGGGGGATTCTAGTATACTACCCCAAAAAGGTACTACATAGGAGCCTGTAGGTAGGTGGGCACTTACTGGTATTTGAGAACCACCCAAAGGAAGATTCTTCGTAATCCCTTGAAGCTTAAACCCCAAACCGCAACTCCCAACAGTCTGTTTGGGGGCGAGGGCGGGGGTGGGGGCGGGGGGTGGTGGGTTGAGCAAATAGCAGCTTAAGGTACAGTTTTTGGGATGTTGCTCCTTCTACTAGCAGTCCTTAATAGGGATTACAGTACCCCCCCTCTTATAATCCCTACTCAGGACTGTTAGCATAAGGGAACATCCCAATACATTGTGTCTATCTCCCACATTGGGGTTTCATCATGGGTTGAAAAGGCGGGGTCGGTTTCGGCAGGATTTTCCCGAAAATAATCAGGGGGGGGGGGGGGGGGGGGGGGCGTTTAATACAAGGGGGAAGCGAATATATATATATATATATATAGATAGATAGACAGACCAGTGGACAGCGAAAGCAAATCTGGGAACGGAGGAATGTCAGAAACGACTGGCACTGAGAACTGAGAAAGTTCATGTTTTAGATGGAAAGGCTGCTATTTTGTAGGAACATGCGAGGAGTCGAAAGGACCACAGACAAAGAAAGGGGGTGTGGGCTCTGTGTGTTGTCCGCGTACCTGCATCAAAGGGTTTGCCATGTGGTGACTTGTTGTGCGGCATCAGCGCATGGCGCATGCCGTCGCTTTGAGGTGGTCCCTCTGAGCAGTCCCGCTCTTTCCATGCAAGCAGCGCTTAGAAGGCTTGCTTGGTTTTGCGCGCGGGCCTTTAACCCTAAACCCTAAACCCTAAACCCTTCTTGGTAGCCAAGGCTCCGTTGGCCATGTACGCCAGGACGGACGACAGATCTCAATTTGTGATCGCGAGGTGGTGATGCGTTGCATGGAGAAATGGTTTGGCACGCTGTCGCAGTTTGAGCACGAGGCGGGAAGAAGATTGCACCGTAAGTTCTAGCTGGTTCGTCTCGGATCTCAGATCGGTTGTGCAGCAGCATTTGCTCCTGTTGAAGTCGCAGTTTTGTGCACACATGTACAGCCACATGTAAACATGACGCTGCCAGCGAAACAGATGTTCAAGCATGTACGTATAAATCCTTATATATATATATATACACACATACTCTTTGTATGATATTGATTCATTTATGATATCTATTATATTTATATTTATATTTATGTATATTTATATATATATATATATATATATATATTTCTTTGTTTGCTGTTTATCTGTCTTCTTACATGTGTATACAGACATATGTGTTTTCTTTTCTCTCTCTATATATATATATACACACTCGTATAAAGGATTCCGCACCCGGCAGCGTTCCAGGAGCAACACAGGTCAAGCGCTGCGCCACAATATGGTTTTTTGCTTCGTAGACGCTGTTATCGTCAAACATCAGTACAAATATTTCAGTATGTTGTTAATGCTTTGCATGATTGGCCCTTTCTTTATCTTTTGTAATGTTATACCATTAGTATCAGGAAGTCCTGTAGTTCTGGTAAGTAGGGGCGCCATCGCGCGAAGCCCCCAGGTGAAGACAGCCATCCGGCCTTTGATCTACCAAAAGCTCGGGAGCTGGCTTCTGCCCTACAGGCACTATACTAACTGTAGTTAAGGGACTTATAACCTAACTTAGGGTCCTTATAACCCAATTTAGGGCCCTTATAACTCTACTTATAACTAGGGGGCCCCACCCTGTACAGGCACCCGGATCTTCTGGAAACCCCCTTAATTTAAGGAACACGCCCCTGGTTTCATGCTAAGGATCCCTATTACCCCTTAATTAAGGAATATTCCCCCCCAGTTTATACTTTCGGAGGATGCTCGGCACCCGGATCTTCCGAGACCCCCTTAATTACGGAATACTCACTCACTCACTCATGCATCTGAGGTCCAATAAGGTCCGCGCTTTCCGCGTGATGAATACACCCTAATCTTATCCTAAGGATCCTTACTACCCCTTAAGTTAAGGAAGACTAATTTATGCTAAGCATCCTTCTTCCCCCCTAACTAAGGAAGACTCCCCTTAATTTCTACTGAGGATCCTTATTGTGAAGTGGGGTATTTAAACCATTTAATTTAATTGATATTATTATTATTTACTGATAAACTATTGAAAGATTCCTGAATTAAGGGGGGTTTTGGAAGATATCGGCAAGCCGTCCGCAGGCTTCAAGGCTCTGGCGGTTGATCGTGATCGGCCATGGGGAATTCGTTATCTTGTAGATGGGGTTTAGGGTTTAGGGTTGAGGGTTGAGGGTTTAGGGAAGAACTGCGGCACGAAGGGATCGTCAACGTTTTGAAAGGGCCACCCACGCGAGAACTGAGCAACATGTTCACAAGTCACCAGTGACAGGCCACGACATTAACGTTGTTGCTAGTTAAAACTTAAACTGAATGACAAAGACCAGACAACTATATCAATAACTTTACGTCCCACGCACGGTGCCTTGTTACAAAGCTCCTAAAGGCAAGCTAGTCATGTTTTCGAACCCTAAACTTAAACCTTAAACCCTAAACCCTAAACCCTTAAACCCTTAACCCTTAACCCTTATAACCCTTAACCCTTAAACCCTAAACCTTAAACCGTACTTTTTGCAGGGGGGGCCCCATCTTCTGGGTCTCCGAAATATCCACTCCACATGCATCCTGACTTACATGTAGGGGCCCCCTAGTCGTAAATTGGGATATATACGGCCCGAAATTGGGTCATAAGCATTACTATGTAGGTTAGAACCCCCTGAGCTGAGGTTAGTATAGCCAGGGCCTAAGGGGGCCCCTACTTTTAGGGCACTTTCAAAGCTCAGAAGTTTCCTTGAATCTCAGGATTCCTGACGCTTTAAAACCTCATAATTAATCTTAGGGTTTAGGGTTTAGGGTTTGGGGTTTGGGGTTTGGGGTTTTGGGGTTTGGGGTTTAGGGTTTAGGGTTTAGGGTTTAGCTTAATGGTGCTGAGGTGGCTGCTGATCACCTCGACTCCTCTACTGTGGGGGTTTGTGGACATGGCAGCAGCCCGCGTTTGGGCGAATGACTCTGTGCTGTTGTTACCTTGCCAAGTTGACTTGGAGGTTCAGGGTACTTGGTAACCCATAATATCCAGATTTTGCCAAAGCCCCTTAGTTAAGGAAGAGACCCTAATTCAGAATAAGGATCCTTAGTATAAACTAGGGTATATTCCGTAATGAAGGTATTTTGGAAGATCTGGGTACATGTCGTGATAACCCACATATAAGCCCTTAAGTACCCTAATAGGGTCATTGGGCTATAAGCACAGTCATATCTGGGTTACTTAGTACCATGAACGTCCAAGTAGTAGAGGCTGTAAGGGAGATAGAATTGGTACCTATGGAACCTGCAAGAAGCGGGAGCCTAGTATAGGGAGCCCTTAAGAACTCTACAATAGCTCATCTAGGTGGTTCAACTGTTATCACAGGCTCCCTAAACCCTAAACCTACGAAGCTCTAACACTAAAAGACCCTAAACCCTAAACCCTAAACCCTAAACTGCAATCAAGGACTGGCGAGCTGCGTTTGATCTGGCCTTGTTCGGGATCGCTTGGTGGCTCTCTGTCTATCCAGCTCCTTGCGCCAAGTCAGCCCACCATCTTTTTATAGGGTTCTTAAGGTTTGGGGTTTGGGGTTTAGGGTTTAGGGTTCTCTTGTTCGTCAACCCTTCATCCTCTTGGGAACTATTTTTTGTTTATATAAAAAACCCAGGAGGATATTAAGAATATATCTTTTTATTAAGGCTCTAGGGGGAGTATAGAACCAGGTTTACGAAAATAGGGGGCAACCCAAAAAAACACCCCAAATATGATGATTCCATTAGAATATGGACCCCAGCAAGGTGCCCCAATTTGGCGGTTCACGGAAACAAGTGAACACTACAACAGATCCCCAAATAGCAGGATCCCCCTTATGATTAGGAAGCCCTACGTTCGGAAACCTCGTTTTCGGAAACCCTCCACAAAAAACCTGAACACTTCCTCCCACCCTCTAAGCCCAAAACCTCCCATGTTCCGGGATGTGGTATATTACAAGGACGCTTCTACCAACTCTCTCCCCATTTAGAAGGCCCCCCTCCTCCCTCCCTTCCCCTTATTCAAACACCTCGTGAAAACTCCTTGGAATGCCTAAACCCTAAACCCTAAACCCTAAACCCTAAACCCTAAACCCTAAACCCTAAACCCTAAACCCTAAACCCTAAACCCTAAACCCTAAACCCTGAACCTCGACTTGGTAGCCTTGAACCTCCCGGTCCATTGGGGTCCTTATTCTAAGGGGATCCTACTATTTGGTGGTTGAAAATAGGGGTCTCCCCTATTATCGTAAACCCCCCATATACTTTGTGGTGCTTTACTGTAACTTTAGATCCTTAGCCTTTTTTGGGTTTATTGGGTTTCCTAGCAAGGCAGCTAAAAACTCAATTTTTAGCTACCCTCCTGAGTGCAGCCAAGTATAGTGCAGAAGCTTGAGCTTCGGCTACCAGGCAGTGATTGTCTGGACTCTCATGGCAGCGCGTCGTCTCCGATTCAAGGCAGGTTCACACACTAGCTTCAACATGGGTTTTGTTCTGAATCAGGGTGCCCCTTGCAGGTGCTCTTTACAGCAAGTTTCCTTACCAAAAGATGGTGTCAACTTGGAGTCGCTTTCAGGCGAAACAAGTACAAACACCACCCCCATTCACAATTCTGGTTTAACTACCATAGAGCTACTCAAAATGCGCTTTCGTATCTTACAGGCCCCTACTTGGAGGTTCAGGGTACTTACAATCCCACTTTTAACTGTACTGATAAGCCCCCTATGCCCTATGCCCTGAGAGTCGATCTATCGATCCGTAGACTTATATTGGGGTTATAACCCCCGAAACCCCAAACAAGGAGATGTAAACCTTCTAATGAGTATTCTTGAACCTCCAAGTACGGGGTCGTGAGAGGGCCCACTGCAGGTGAAGTATGCCTGGCTTGACCGTGGGGCCTCGCTGCTGTTATCGGTGCTGATGACAATGGCCACCCTCGCGCTCAACTTGCTTTTGGGATGGATTTACCCGAAACCCTGAACCTTCAACCCTGAACCCTAAACCCTAAAACCTAAACCCGAAACCTTAAACCCTAAACCCTCACTCAGAAGCCGGGTGGGGCCCCTACACAAAATGGGGTTCAGGGTGTCAAGAGGGTCCAAGCATGCTACAAGCCTTGCTTATTGGAACCCCTTAGCTCGGTTTGCCCTATTTTCGGAAACCCGCAAAGGGCCCTAAACCCTAAACCCTAAACCCTAAACCCTAAACCCTAAAACCTAAAACCTAAACCCTAAACCCAAAACCCAAAACCCAAAACCCAAACCTCAGGTCTATGCTACCCCTCATTGGCCCTTTCAGGCTCAAGCATGCCCAACGAGCCCAATCTCCCTCAATTAGGGAATAGTGCTTAATGTATATGAGGATCCTTAGCATGATTAGGGTTTAAGGTTTAGGGTTTAGGGTTTAGGGTTTAGGGTTTTTGGTACATTCCTCAAGTAAGGGGTACTGGGCTCAAGATCACTCAACTGTCCAGGCAGGTTTCCGAGCACCGCATTTTGTGTAGTAAGCCAGGCGGGTGGCACGACAGTGAAAATCGATTCGTTTGGATGTTCCCCCTTATACTAACAGTCCTTAATAAGGATTAGAATGGGGGCGGGGTACTATATAAGGACTGTTAGCATAACGGGGAACATCCTAGTCCATTCCACTTAGACTGCACCAAAGGGTGATGCACGGCTGCATTTCTAAGGACTTTTTAAATGCAATAAAGCATGATTGTTTACATAGCCCTTAACCCTTGAAACTCTACGTATAACATTTGGCCGTTTACGTTGTCTTGAGTGCCCTTCTCAACCGATAGGGATTGAGTGAAGCATTGTGCCCATGGGCAGGGGACTACACGATTGCGGTGGCAGACGATCGAAGGTTGCCCTAAACCCTAAACCCGAAACCCGAAACCCTAAACCCTTGGTTGAGTTGACTGGGGGCTGCTGCCAAGGATGCACATGACAATGAGGCTGGCGTTGCCGCCTTTAGTCGCGGGCCCGTCATTCCTCCTCATCACCTCCGTGACTTGGCTGTCCTCTTTAGGGTTTAGGGTTTAGGGTTTAGGGTTTTGGGTTCAGGGTTTAGGGTTTCGGGTTTAGGCTTTAGGGTTCAGGGTTCAGGGTTCAGGGTTTAGGGTTAAGGGTTAAGGGTTTAGGGCTTTGACCTAAGGTGATGGCTGTCATCACATGGCGAGCCTGCGCTACTTCTGAGCTGAGACCACGCATGAGCGCGTGATCGAAGGTAGCGACGTGCATGCACATGTTGTCCTCTGAGCCTGTGAAAAGGTCTTGTACAGCACAGCTTCTGCATCCATGCGGAGGTTTAATCATGTGCCAATGTCTCTCGCAGTTCACATTGAGTGCTGCAACACATTGGGGGCCACTCCCTCCCCCATGCTTCTGCACAAGCCGAGGAAGGGCAATAGTTCATTTGCTCATCCACTACTGTTCAACCCAAACCGTACAACGCACACTTATAAAACAGTAGAACAAGCATACTTGTGTTTAGATTGCTGTATAGGCTGGCGTTGATGCGTATGTCCCTTGGTGCTGCTCGAGGTTTTCGAGTCGACACGGCGCGACCCATTTTCCAGCCGAAGCGTGAACCCAGAACGGGCCCCAAATTGGAGAAGCCCCGACTTTGAGGATATGTTGCCCTTGCCATGAAGGCGCTGGCCCACAAACAAGTACATAGATATGGAAAATACAAACAAGTAAATTAATGGGCTGCTGAAGCGGCACAAAAACAGTCTTTAGGTTGTTGGGGTTTAGGGTTTAGGGTTTTAGGGGTTTAGGGTTTTAGGGTTTTGGGTTTAGAGGTTTGGGATTTAGAGGTTTCAGGCTTAGGGTTTAGGGCTTCAGGCAAGCATCATCCTTCGAAGCTATGTACGTGTGCTGTCAACTCACATGCTGAGCCCTGAAACCTACAAAACCAAGGGGTTCCGGCGGTGTAGCCCCCCGTCAAGGTTCCCCTGAACATACTCCGACTCTGGCCCAGCTATTCCCTTAAAGATCTTCCAGAAAGGTCCCCAAAACCCAAGCAACCTCAAGGGTCCAAGGTACCCTAAACCCTAAACCGTAAACCCTAAACCCAAAACCCTAAACCCTAAACCCTAAACCCTAAACCCTACTTGTCCAAGGCACAACGTAGAGACAAACGAACCCAGGTCAAAAAGCCTGGGAGCTGCAGCGGGCAAATGTCTACGAGTAAGGGCTTCCGAGTTTAGGGTTTAGGGTTTAGGGTTTAGGGTTTAGGGTTTAGGGTTTAGGGTTTAGGGTTTAGGGTTGGGGAGTCTGAGGGTTTAGGGATTAGGGTTGGGCTCTTCCCCCTTATGCCGACAGTCGCCAATTCTAGTACCCCCTATTCTGATCCCTAACAAGGACTGATCGTATAAGAGGAACATCCCAAGTTTAGCGTTTAGGGTTTCGGGTGAAGGGTTTGAAAGGGCTTAGGGCTATCCTCACTCCTCACTCCTATAGATGTGCTTCGGGCAAGGCGTAGTTCATCTGCAGCCTTGGGGGGAAGCCATTTCAACACCGTTTTGAAGTCTGGACGGCCTCTCCAGGGCATAGGGTTTAGGGTTTAGGGTTTAGGGTTTAGGGTCTAGGGTCTAGGGTTTAGGGTTTAGAGTCCTTTCATCTAAGTTTTGAGGCCCTGGATGGTGGCGGTACCATGCCTGGCTTCGACAGCCTTAAACCGCACGTTCCCTTTATAAACGTTAGGGCCGTGTTTTGAGAGATGGGGCGAGAGCTTTGAAGCCGCGAACTGCCAGCCTTGTGCCCTATAGTCATTCGCCCTACACTCCATGAAACGCCCGTGCGCGTACAGAGTGGTACTTCCATAGCCGTCTTGCGGCTGCCAAACAAAATCTGTATGCGAAGATGCGGCATCCAAGTCCTAGGCGCCCGCTCTGGAGAGGAAGCCTCCTCCGTCCAACTGAGTTGCGATCTGGTTTGGCAGATCGCCCAAAGGATCCATGTAGCGGTAGTCTACACTTTGGGCCCTAAGGCTACTATATAAAGCTACTATATAGGAACCCCTGTAAGGCCCAAGTATATACTTCATCATATATAGAGTATGCCTAACCCCTAAACCCTAAACCCTAAATGGATCCTAGGGGCGTACCAAGGCCTGTTGAGGCTTCGTTTCACCTCCACGAGAGATGGAGATGCAATGGAGAGCCTTCACCGTAGCCCAAGGGGGGACATCCTAATCATACTCGGTACTTGGAGGTTCAGGATAATATATAAGATCTAGTAATCTATCAGATATAGTATATAATATCTAGCATCTAGTATATATATTATATAACATATAGTAGATCATGAATAATTCATAATATACTTAGTAACCCATTCTAAGTGTAGTTACAACCCACAAATGAGCCCCTTGAGAGTACAGTTGTAATTGCGTTACTGAGTACCCTGAACCTCCAAGTAGGCCCTTCGTGGGACACAAAAGGGCTTAGGGTTTTTTAGGGTTTTAGGGTGTATGGTTAAGGGTTTAGGGTTTCTAGGTAGGCCCATGGGACCTTTTGTATTTTCCAATATTGGATCATGTTTAGGAATGTTTTTCAGAGGGTTTTGAGGGCCATCCCAGTATATGGTGAACATGAGTTAGGGGTTAGGAGGCTCTACCTTAAGGACGACATGAACCCTAAATGGGTTTGTGGTTCATATAGGGTTTAGGGTTTAGGGCTTAGGGTATGACCCACAATGTTGGGGTTCACTTGGTCCCCAAGGTATCGGGGCCTCCAAGTCTTCCTAGGTACGAGAAAGGGGGACCCTGACAAGGGAACCCTTCTTAAACCCTAAACCCTAAACCCTAAACCCTTAACCCTCTTCTGACTCTCTGAAACAGGGACCTTTTCTTTCTCTGAGGGTCTATATCCCCAAAATTTCCCCCCTAATCCTATCCCCTATGCCCAAAAGAATAAAAAAATATGATGCCTGTATTTTCCCTTAATCAGGAAGAATATTTGATCCTTTCGGGGTTCTTAAGCAAAGTAGTAGACTAGGACCGGGAGTAGGCCCTTTTTCCCTTTTTTGGGGTTGGGGTTCCTTTGTAATCCCCTTAAAACCAAAAAGGGCACCATTTTTATTCCTAGGCTACTCCCGGGTCTAGTAGAGGGTTTAGGGTTTAGGGTTTAGGGTTTATAGGGTTTAGGGTTTATAGGGTTTAGGGTTAAGGTGAAGAGCTCCAGTTTGGATGAAAACGGGCGTGCCCGCATCCATCTGTAGCCCTGTGCCAGCGGCACGAAAAAAGTCAAGGGTTTAGGGTTTAGGGTTTAGGGTTTAGGGTTTCTTGTCAGGCCGGCCAGTCTTCGGTGGCCCTCTGAAATTGGCCGGTAAACACCGGGAACCTAGTTGGTGTGCAATTCCCACCTTCTGGAGGCAAGGCAGAAAAATAAAGGGGTAGAGGGAGGCCCTTACTTGTACCCAAGTAGACCCCTAAAGAACCTGTAAGGTCCCTTATGAGGGTCCCTCCTTCAGTCCCTTGAAGGAATCAAGTCAAAGCAAAAACTATTCGGCCAACGACTTGGACGCTACGAAGTTCAAGGAGTTCACAGAATCAGCCGACTGTAACGAATTTTCAAGGCACGCAAGTCCTTCAAAACCCTAACCCTAACCCCAAACTCTAAACCCTAAGTCCTAAACCCTAAACCCTAAATCCTACCCTGAACCCTAAACCGTCCAGCCGTCTGGCTCCCAACTCACAGGGCACTTGGCCCTGTGTCGAGTTTTTTTCATCGTAGTCCTTAAGGACGACATGAACCCTTTGAGGGTATACGACCCCAATTCTAGGGCTCAATTGGTCCAAAAAAGGCTGTGCTATTCTTCATACTGGGAAGCCTTGGCTACCGAGCGCATGTGCTTCCATTGGGCAGCGCTGCCATGGCTGGCTACTTTGACCTCCTTGGGCTGGCACGGACCGCGGGCAGAGCAGCCATCAAAACGGCCTTCCATCAAGAGCTCCTCGCCCACAATCACAAGTATGGTCCGCTGGCACACGAGGAACTTTCTGACGCCGAGAGGCTTGGTCGTCCAGTGGCACACCCTTGTCCCTTTTTGGCTCACAGAGTAACCACCCCCTCCTTACCAAGACCCTAAAATCCTAAACCCTAAACCCCAAACCCCAAACCCTAAACCCTAAACCCTAAACCCTAAACCCAAAACCCAAGGAGGGAGCGGCACGAGGCGCAGCTGGCGCTTGCGCGCGCTGCGTTTCTGCACTTGATCGACGAGGGCGCGCGGCAGACATACATTGCAGAGCTCGAGGCAGACGGAAGCTGGGCCTGCAGTGGCTCCCACGTAGGGTTTAGGGTTTAGGGTTGAGGGTTGAGGGTTTAGGGTTTAGGGTTTAGGGTCGGATAAGGGGGACCCTTAAAAGGGAGCCCTCCTTAACCCTCTTCTGTCTATGTCCCCAAGGGTCCCCCATATCCTATCCCCTACGTGGGGGGTTCCGATATCCTTTTTGGGGGTGTGTGTGTCTTGTGTGCTAGTTTATGGGCAGTTCTCCAAGATGTTGGGTCCCTTTTTGGGGGTTCCTGTTGTGCCAGTGTGCCGTGCTATATGTGCGAGCCCAAAAGGCAACCGAACTTAGAAAACTCTCGTACAACCAGGAGTTCTCCTTTTTTTGGCAAGTAGGGGACCCAGATCTTCCAAAGCCCCTTAAATTAAGGAACAGACCCTAATTCAGAACAAGGATCCTTAGTATAAATGACGGTATCTTCCTGAATTAAGGGGTTTTGGAAGATCTGGGGTCCATCTTCACCCTAAATCCTAAACCCTAAGCCCTAAACCCTAAACCCTAAGCCCTACAATGCAGGAAACACCGACGGCCTGCTAGAGGGCCTGCAAGCCCCACCCAGCCCGCCACGGATGCTCGGCGCAATACGGCCCCAAGCTGACCCTTAAGCCCGAAAGAGCCCAATAGCCTTTAATTAGGAAAAATATGGCTGACTCTACATATACATATAAATAAATATATAAATAAATATATATATATATATATATATATCTATATCTATATGTGTGTGTATATGTGGGAATGCTTAATATGATTTAAGGTATAATCCTAAGTTAAGGGGTGTGTTTGGCTCTGTGGGAGGTTGAACCCCTGAAAGGCAAACAGCTACGCTTCACAGCCTCAACCCAACAAACCCTACAAACCCACAACCTTCTCGTAGTCTGTAGCAATCCTCGATTCGTAATCCCTTCCCCCCAATATCAAAC